AGGCATCTATAAATAGGAGCATACTCACCCATTCATGTTCATTGAAATGCTTTGACAGAAATGCAGGGATATTCAACAACAATCAAATCCACCACAGAAGGAGGTGACCCAACATTTCCAGAAGAGTTCATAATGAGAAGAACTCGTCCTAAAGGAGAAGGTTCGTAATGAGAAGAGACTGTTCCTTTCAAATCCACCGCAGAAGGAGGTGAACCAACATTTCCAGAAGAGTTCATAATGAGAAGAACTCGTCTTAAAGGAGAAGGTTTGTAATGAGAAGAGCCTGTTCCTTTCAAATCCACCGCAGAAGGAGGTGAACCAATATTTCCAAAAGAGTTCATAATGAGAAGAAATCGTCCTAAAGGAGAAGGTTCGTAATGAGAAGAGCATGTTCCTTTCAAATCCACCGCAGAAGGAGGTGAACCAATATTTCTAGAAGAGTTCATAATGAGAAGAACTCGTCTTAAAGGAGAAGGTTCGTAATGAGAAGAGTATGTTCCTTTCAAATCCACCGCAGAAGGAGGTGAACCAACATTTCCAGAAGAGTTCATAATGAGAAGAACTCGTCTTAAAGGAGAAGGTTCGTAATGAGAAGAGCCTGTTCCTTTCAAATTCACCCCAGAAGGAGGTGAATCGACATTTCCAGAAGAGTTCATAATGAGAAGAAATCATCCGACAAAAGAAGAAGAAGTTCATAATGAGAAGAACTTGTTCAACCTTAGCTCGAATCATCGCATATGGAGTTGAATCAGAAACACCTCACTCGAGGGATCAGCATTGCCAGTGGAGAGTTCATAATGAGAAGAACTCATCTGATGAGGGAGAAGAAGTTCATAATGAGAAGAACTTGTTCAACCTTGGTGATTTCATCATATAAGGAAGTGGATTGACATCCCCAGCGAAGAAGTTTATAATGAGAGGAGCTTGTTCGACCTATTGCTCGATTCACAACACTTCGAATCAGCAATACCTCGCTTGAGGGATTAACATTTTCAATGGAGGGTTTGTAAGAAGAACTCATCCGATAAGTGAGAAGAAGTTCATAAGGAGAAGAACTTGTTTAACCTTAACTTGTTTTCATCGCATATGGAGTTGGAACAGCACCAATATTTCGTTCATTACAGAATGAGGTGGATCAAACATTGCCATCTAAATCCATCGCATAAGGAGTTGGATTGACATCACTATTGGTGCAACTATCGTGGGAAGAGAAGAATTAACATTGGCAGTGAAGAGGTTGCAATGTGACAAGATGAGACCAATATGAAAAATGGTGCTTTCATATCTTTGCTTCATCCCCGTTTCACAATAATGAGCAAAGAGGGGCAGCTGTAGCCACCATTTTTCATAACCCCTAAATCCCATAACCCTAAACCTCAAAAATTCAAACCCGATAGAACCTTAACCCTAATCCTAACCATAGAGATATCATGATTCAGCCGTCACCGCCGGTCCAAGCTCGCTCAACAAAACCCCAGAATATCCGGAGCATTAAAAGCACACCATCATCAACAACAGTGGATCCACAGTATAGCTAGGATTTTTTTATTTGTTTTTTAACCTATGTAAATTGGTTATAAGAACCAAACCATGTAACAGAGAAGAGGGGCTTCCTCTTCGTTTTTTCCAACATAAATACAAGAACCTTCTCTTAAGGTATTTTTTTTCTTCCCAATTTCATTTTTCTTTGGTTTTAAAAAGATAATAAAAATTAAAACAAAGCTTAAATAAATTTTTTTTGGGAAAGAAAATATGTTAAGAGTAAGTTTACCTGGAGTTGATTGTGTTCCTCCTTGAGTCGGATCGTAGGGGAAGCGATTAGAGCCGGGTTAGTGTAGTTTGGGTAGTGGCGCCTCCGTGTGTGGTGGCTCTGTTTTGGTTCTTTAGAGTGAGCAACCACCGTGGGTTGAGGGGAAGAGAAAAGGGAGAGAAAGAGTAAAGGAATTTTAGAAATCCACGCAGAAATGAGTTCTGGTAAAAGGGAGGAAGTTGATATCTTAGTATTTTTGGGTAAACCACGCTAGAGGTCCCTGGACCTTTAGCATGTTTTATTTGGCCACTAGTTTTAGGTTAAACTACCTTACTGGTCCTTTACGTTGAATGTGATTCGTGATTTAGTAACTTTTTAGGGTAAATCAAGCCGTAGGTCCCTTACATTTTAGCATGTTATGTGATTTAGTCATCATTTCCTTTTATTTTCTAAGATTTACGAATTAGATGCATGATTTTATATTATTGTAATTTAGTCCTCTGTTGGATGTATTATTTTTTGTTCGAGATTGGCTACTGATGTTGATGTTTTTATATTTAGTCCTATGTTTATGGTTTTATTATGATTTTGGTGCTTCTATGTGTTATTTTCTTGTTTAATGTTATAATATTTGTTTTATTAATGTTTAGGATATCAAAGTTACTTTATAATTATTTTGTCACTATATTATGAATGAATCCAAGTGTATATTATTTCTTTGTACCATTAAAGTATTTTTATGTTCTAGGTATTTATTTCACTTGTATTATTATACATTATTTTATGTACATAAGATTGTATGTAGAGCATGGTATAAATGTTATATTTTTTTATTTTTATTTTATTTTAGAATAAATATTTGGTTCTATGTTTAGTATAATATTTAGAAAATATTTATATTTTTTAAAGTAATGTTAAGTTAAAAATAAATTTAGAATTTTTCTTTTAATCCATGTGTATTTATATTTTTTTCTTTAAGTGCTTCAATGTATCATATTTTATTTTGTTTAAAAGCCTCATTAGTATAACTTAACCAATTACATAATTGGATTAAGGGTTATATTTATGTATATTAAAATATTAAGAAGGGACAGTCTTAAACAACTAGATGTCATTTTCTGATATTTTAAAATAAATAAATATCCCACTAGAAAAACCTAAAAAATTGATTGCATTTAAAATTAATTAATTTTGAAGGGAAAATGAAATATTCATTATTTTAAACTTATCGAGACAATTTGCTAATTTTATTAGAGATTAAGTCTCGGTGTTTTTAAATTATTGAATATCCCTTATCTTTTCTAATAATATTCAGATTAATAAATTTAATTTCTTTCTTTGGTAGAATATTTTTTTTATATGGAATCCGAAAAATTATTATATTCTTTTTATTTCAGTTGGGAAGAGAAATATTCGTCCTAAAGTATTTTAGGGAGTATTTTCTCTTCAATTGGAAATAAGAGAATATTTTATATTTTTCCTTAGAATTTTTGTTCTATAATATTTGTATGGTTGAATTAGGAATAATGGAATCGTGATCTAAATATATATTCAAATTCTTAGATTTCTACTATTTAGAGACAATATATAACCGATGGGTACCAGTTTTGGGCGTTGTGGGGGTGCTAATCCTTCCCCACACGTAATCGACTCCCGAACTCTTTTTTTTACTTAAAATGAATTTCTGGTTATACGTGGATCGATGCATCTTTTAAAATGATGTTTTTCTTAAAAAACTCTTTTAAAAGAATATTTTTGGGTATTCGGCCTACCTAACCCAAAAGGTCGATGGCGACTCCGAAACATTTCTTTTACAAAATCGGATTTTCACGAAATGAGTCGAGACTTGTCGTATCGCCGGAAATCGGTTACGACAGTATGATCGTTTAAAGAATCCAACTCGTCAAGGCTGCTTCCTCAGTTGTGCATTATATCCAGAAGATGAGGAAATTGAGGAGGAAGGTCTTATTCAACTTTGGTCTTATTCAAGACTGTTTCCTTTGTTTATTTAATTTAAAAAACATTAATGTTTGATTCATATTCCTTTAAATTTTTAATATCGTATTTATGTTCGTTTACTTATTTTTAAAAGTGTTATTGTTCATTCTTTTAGCGTTTGAGAATATGTTCGTTTATATGTTTCCTTGAGTTAGGAGTTCAACACCTTTCAACCATCCATTTTTAAAATTTTCTCTATTGATCCAAAAAGCGATAATTCATAGCTAAGTCTTTGAGCTTCCCAAACATTCAAAAGTAATCTAACATTTTTCTAAACTGTCTATTTTAGTCCTTAATTAAATTAATTATATTTTAAAATTAACATTGGGTGTGACAGGTAGGACCCAACCCAACATTAAAAACAGTAAAGGGAGATAATTTCAAACAAAGCCGAATTTTTCGTTATGCTTGGAATTTAACTTAGTTTTCGTTTAGTATTTTTCTTTTTCATTAAAAGAAATATATAGATTTTTATTAAAATGTAAATTAAATATAATTTTGATTAATTGGACTAAAAATGTTTTGCTAAATCATTTTAAAATACCCTTATAAATTATTTAATTGTTGTAACATCACTTTTAGTTTACAATTATATCAATTTTGCATTAGATTGTTAATTTGCATGTTTTCGATATCGGAAATATTTAAGAATAAATTATTAGTTTTTTTTTATAATCAGAAATTAATAGAAAACATAACAGCAAAGAATGAAAGCAAATTTCATTATCATTAAGATTGAATATTGTAAATGATAATGCCAGATAAATAGTATTAGTAGTAATAAATGATTGATAACAAAAAGATAAACCAACATTAATTTTTTAAAAATAGTCTGGGTGATTACAAGATGTTCAAAATCTTTTTTTAATTAATGACAACGCACATATTTATAAACGCAACTGTTCGAACCCAATACCTTTATTGAGAACAAAACTCCCCTTAGTTATTGAGGTCGATTCATAGGATCATTCATTAATTTTTTTGTCAACTATAAAAAAAAGACATTTGATTATTCATTATGTCAATAGACCTTAAATTTATTGTTAAATTTTGTTTATAGACAGCCATGTACCCAAAAAGTATCTTATAATTCAGATTTTTTTTGTATTTTTTTATTCATGATTTAATTTTATGCCTTGAAGTTTTGAAATTTCACTCTCTTAAATTTCTGTTTAATTTAATTTGATTATTCGTGAGAGGGTGAAACTTCTTGATTTACATCTTTATAGTTTCTTAAACATTTTTGTAGAGTAAAATTAAATATTTTTAGTCATGTTTAGATACATTCACCTAATGATGCGTTATTATTTAGTTTCTAACATATTGCTTGTGACTTGCAGCCATGGACTTTGTTCTGAATAAGATAGATAAACACTTGGACAATCATAGAAGCCTTGATCAACATCGGAAGAACCTTAAAAGGAAATTGGAGGAATCGATTGGTTTGAAGAAAGACACAGAATCTATAAAGAGATTAGAGCTGCAGCCGAGAAAGAAACTGAAGGCGGAAGTTCAGATATGGTTGGAAAATGTTGAAAGAGTCAATGGCGAAGTGCAAGTCCTTGAGGGAAGAATTGGTGAAAGCAATGCTTTTACACGTGGATTTCACAGAGAAGATGTGTCAAAGAGTATGAAGGAAGTTGAAGAACTTATTACTCAACAGGGTAGATTTCATGTAGGTTTGGTGGTTGTCAATCCTCAATGGATCGGACAAGTTTTATCGACAACAAATTTATCAGGTGAAGCTGTAAAGGCCTGTGTTGAAAAGATCTGGCAATGCTTGATGGATGATGGGGTTCAAAAGATTGGAGTTTGGGGCATGGGTGGCGTGGGGAAAACAAGCATCATGAAGGTTATAAACAACCAACTCTTAAAAGAGACAGGGAAATTCGATACTGTGATTTGGATCACTGTATCCAACGAGATGAGTATTGCTAAACTGCAGAAAGACATTGCTAGTAAAATTGGAGTAGAATTTTACGGTGATGAAGATGAAACTACAAGGGCAGGGATTCTCTTTGAAACACTATCTCAAAAGAGTAGGTTTGTGATGATCTTGGATGACCTATGGGAGAAGGTTTCACTTGAGAAAATAGGAATTCCTGAGCAGAAGGTTTCACTTGAGAGAATAGGAAATCCTGAGCCGTCAAATGGGGCTAAATTAGTGTTGACAACAAGAAAAGAAGATGTGTGTCGACAAATGGGTTGTATAATTATTAAAGTGAAGCCTCTGATGGAAGAAGAGGCATGGGAGTTGTTCTTAGAGAGGGTGGGCTGTGATATTCTCAATATTCCAGAGGTGGAACCAATTGCAAGATCAATTGCTAACCGTTGTGCAGGTTTGCCCTTGGGAATAATTACTATAGCTTCTTGTATGAAGGGCATTGATGAAATCTCGGAATGGAGGAATGCACGAGAAGAATTAAAGCTACGCAAAGCGAGTGTTAATGGATTCGAAGAAGAAGTGTTCCAACCATTACAATTTAGTTATGATCGTTTAAAGAATCCAAAACTTCAAGAATGTTTCCTCAGTTGTGTATTATATCCAGAAGATGAGGAAATTGAAGAAAAAGGTCTTATTCAACTTTGGATCGGAGAAGGGCTAGTGGAAGAAATGGATAGCATGCAGGCAGAGTATGACAATGGTCGTTCAATAATGAATAGACTCATCAGCAATTGTTTGTTAGAAGTTTTTACTGAAGGAGAACATGTAAGACGTGTAAAGATGCATGATCTTTTAAGGGACATGGCATTGCGTATTGCAAAATCTCGATTCTTGGTAAAAGCCGGCACAATGTTAGAAAAGGCACCAGATGTGCAAGAATGGAGCATGAATCTAGAGAAAATTTCGTTGATGAGGAATTGGCGGTTATATATACCCTTGGAAATGTCACCCCCAAAGTGCCCCAGGCTCACAACATTGCTGTTGTCTGATTGTGATATAGCGAGTATTCCGGAAGGGTTCTTCAAGCATATGCATGGGCTTAGGATTCTTGATCTTTCCAGAAATCCTATCAAGAGTCTTCCAATTTCTTTGTCGAAGTGTCCCGGGCTCACAACATTGTTGTTGTCTCAATGCAATATAGCGAGTATTCCAGAACGATTTTCAAGCATATGGATGCACTCAAGGTTCTTGATCTTTCCAGAAATCCTACCAAGAGTCTTCCAATTTCCTTGTCGAAGTGTCCCGGGCTCACAACATTGTTGTTTTGTCATTGTCTTATAGAAAGTATTCCAGAAAGCTTCTTCGATGATACGAATGAACTCAAGATTCTTGATCTTTCCTGGAATCCTATCAAGAGTCTTCCAATTTCCTTGTCGAAGTGTCCCGGGCTCACAACATTGTTGTTGTCTGATTGTCGTATAGAAAGTATTCCAGAAAGCTTCTTCGATGATACGAATGAACTCAAGATTCTTGATCTTTCCTTCAATCCTATTAAGAGTCTTCCGCATTCCTTATCAAATTTGAAGAACCTCACTTCATTGTTGCTTGCTTATTGTGAAGATTTAGGGAGTGTTCCATCGTCGTTAAATCTTGGAGTTTTAAAGAAGTTGGATCTTCGACGAACAAAGATCAAGGAAATCCCGAATGGAGTACTTTCAAGACTTTGTTGTCTTCATGAATTGATCGTAGGTGGGACTCTGATAAATGGAAAGGAGGTTGGTGGATTGAAGAAACTGCACGGAACTCTTGAAGGGAGGTTTTATGACTGGCACAACTTAAATATGTATCTCGAAGCTTGTCGTGGCCGAGAAGAGCCTCGTCAATACACAATCAACGTGGGAGATATAAATTGTGATATGTTTTATGAAAATGAAGTAAAACAAATTTTTGCAAGACGTTGTAACATCTATAACTACCAGATTGTGCTTCCACGTGACATTGAGGGATTGGATATTGGGTTTTGCAATGTTGATTGCAGTGAAGAATACCCGCTTTTCTCCAGGTTTATCCTCTTCTCAATTGGCTCCTTTTCATCTCTTAAATGTCTTGATATGTATGATTGTGGGAATATGAAAAAGTTGTTCTCCCCAAACTGTGTGCCGCTAAATTTACAAGAGCTCAGTGTTGGTGCGTGTAAGCAATTGGAGGAAATAATAACATCAGAAGTTGAACAGGAGGAAAGAGGAATGTTTATCACGGAGTTTCATCTTCCACAATTACGGCTATTGTGGTTGAGTGATCTACCGGAATTGAAGAACATTTGCAGTGCTGGTGGAGTACTGGTTTGTGATTCTCTTGGAATAATTGGGATTGTAGACTGTCCAAAATTAAAGAGGATGGGCCTTAATCTTCCCAGACTTGATAATGTCCCACCATCTGCATCTGCATCTGCAAATTTCTATCTTTCAATTCGCATAAGACCAAAAGAGTGGTGGGAATCAGTGGAATGGGATGGTCCCCAACCCAAGTCTCTTTTCGACCCCTTCGTGAGCTTATGGTAAAAGGTAGAGGGAGGATCAAAGGGAGCAGTTGAGTTTGTAACATTGGCAGTGTTTTTATTTTCTTATTTAAGCGAAGCTTAATTTGATGAATTCAAACTCTATTAATTATTTATATTTGACTCGATCGTTCCTCATTTTATTATTTAGTTACAATAATATTATACATACCTCATTCATGACCAATATTTTAGTTTTTGCATTTTTTGTTGTTGATAAATCAATTAGCATTTTCTTAAGGTTAAAACATTTGCATAGCCGTTGTAATATCTATAACTATTGGATTATGCTTCCACGAGACCTTGAAGGATTGCATATTTGGGATTGCAGTGTTGATTGTGTAGTGAAATATCTGCTTTTCTCCAGGTTTATCTTCTTCTCAATTGGCTGCTTTTCTTCTCTTGAGTTTCTTTATATAATGATTGCAGAAAAATGAAAAAGTTGTTCTCTCAGAACCGTGTGCCGCCGAATTTACAAAGGCTTAGAATTTGTAATTGTGAGCAGTTGTAGGAAATAATAACATCAGATGTTGAAGCTGAGGAAAGAGGAATGGTTACCATGGAATTTCATCTTCCACGATTAAGGATACTGTTGTTGAAACATCTACCTATATTGAGGTGCATTTGCTGTGCTGAGGGAGTGATGATTTGTGATTCTCTAGATAAAATCTCGGTACAAGATTGTCCGAAGTTGAACAGGATGGCTCTTCAAGATGCAGAATAAGATAATCAATATAAAATGTAAAAAAATACCTAAAATACAAGAGAATTTAAAATTTATAAAAATACGACCGCACCCGAAGCCCCTCATTCCGTCCCTGCTTATATGCCATTAGTTCTTCTGTAAACCTATCTGACCAAGATAGTATTAAATATGACCTGTTGGGGGAGTGAATCTGTTGGAAGCGTAAATAGGTCATCCGTGGTGTAACACCCCAATTTAGGGGCTAAATTTAAGAAATTATAAAGTGGTGAATTTAATTGGTATTTTTGGAAGAAATTAGGAATTAAATTATAAAATTGCAAAGTTAACAGACCATTTTAAGAATTACAGGAATTTTAGTGGCTAAACTATTAATTTAGCCAATATTCTATAGGAAAGAATTATAAACTCTCCCCGTCAGTTCCAGAGACATTTTCCAGTTTTTCCTTCCCCAACAACCCTACTTTCAACTCCGATCTACTCGCCGTCCGACCTCCGATCGACGAACCGAAATCACCATCGTGTTCGTTGTCGACCGAGGAACAAAAACCCTTAAAGCTTTCATCGTGAATCGTCGCCGTTCGTCGTTAATTTCAGTTGTAAGTATCGTCGGTAATAACTCAATTTCAGTTGGTTTTTCGTCAATTCACGACGATCTGGTCATCACTTTACGACACCTCCCATACCATCGTGTTCCCTGCATCGTTCCGAGTCCACTGGTGTTCTCCGTTTCTCAATCGTCGCTGACTCGTGGAGGGGTGAGACCGTCAAAGTTTTCGACGTTTTGGAATCGAGCTCTCCGCCGTTCAAAATTGTGAACCGAGCTTTGTAAGTGTCTTAAAATCGCTTAAAATAATTTTTAGAAATTTTTCCGGGAATTTTCTGACTCTGAGTTACTGTTCACGTGTCGCACGTGCCATCCCCGAGAGTGGGCATCGTCTGGGTGATAATTTTGTAATTAAATTATGTTTGAGTGCTATTTGTGTAAAATTTGGGTGTTAGTTTCGTAAATATTTGCAGAATAGGGTGATATTTGTGTAAAATGGTCGACTGTTGACCGGTGTTGACCACATTTGACCAAAACTTTGACCGGCTTTGACCGAGCATTAAACGACCTTTGACTTTGACCGAGTATATCTATCTTGACATTTTTTGACGTTTCAAATCCGATTCCGCAGTCCGTTTTTTGGAATTCGGACCCGAAGACCTCGAAATTTCCAGTCAAACCCGTTAACTTTGATTTTGACCGAAAATTCTAAATTTTTGAAAAGTCCGTTTTCAACATCCTTAATCCGAATACGAAGTCCGTTTTGCCAAATTCGAACCAGATAAGCTATTTTTCACTGATTTATCATCCAATTCGATTCGTTTTTCAGAATTAAGCTCCGTTTTTGATGTAATTTCTGTTGATATGGATATGAGGAAATATTGGAAGATGATTTCAAGATTGAGGGCGTTCGAATGGAATTTTTATGATCGATCAGTATTGCACGAAAATTGAGGTAATATTTTACTACCTCTTTATGCTTTATGGAACATGTGAATATTGGTAAATGTATGAATAAGTTAATGTTGGTCTCATTTGTGTATGTTGAAAATATTTTGATGTTTCGATATAACAAATTAAGTTAAATGAATTTTAAGATTTTACAAATGATTTTCTAAAGTATATTCGATTTAACTACTCGAATATCAAATTATTACTCCAAGTCTTTCAAGATCAATTTTAAATCTTACTAAATATGTAAATTTGTGTTTTATACTTAAACTATTTTTAAACAAATTTTCACAATGTATTTTGAACCAAAATCAAGCCTAAAATCAATTTTTCAAAGGCATGCACCGATGCACCAATCCATGCATTGATGCATCAATTAATTTCTTGAACATCGAATGCATTTTATGCATCGATGCACATACCATGCATCGATGCACTCAGTGCATTTGATGCATCGATGCACTCAGACTTTTTCAAAACATCGAATGCATTTTATGCATCGTTGCACTCTTAGTGCACCGATGCACTGAGAGTCCAACGGTCAAAATATTTGAATTTTAAATTGATGCACCGATGCACCTAGGGTATGCATCGATGCACTGACGCTCCCATCCACTTTCATTAATTACTTTCACACTTAAACGGCTCTATTGACTTCACTAATCATCCCCAACGTTTAAAATCATTTGAAGGTGTATTTAAAAAAGCTTAGAAGCCATTGATCAATAACAAGAAACAACAAGCAACTAAAATCAAGAGAGAATCAAAGAGAAAGCATCAAACTCATTGTTTGAGCAATTCAAGCCTATTTTTCATTCAATATTCATTTTGCTTTCAAGAACATTTCTTGTACTCAATTGTATTCATTTTTTAGTGTTCTTTTCTTTGTTCTAGAATTGTGCAAACAATCTACCTTGTGAGGATTTTCTTGTAAGTTTGCAAATTTGTAATCTTCTCTTTGAGAAAGAGTGTTCTCAAGAATTGGGGTATATTCTTGAGGGTGTTGTAAGGTTATCTCTTTGGCCTCAAAAGAAAGAACTAATTAGTGAATTTGTTGGAAAATCCTTATTGTGGATAGCTAAGGTAGTGGACGTAGACTTTGGTTGAGAAAGTCGAACTACTCTAAATTGCTATGCAAATCTTTTCAATTTTCTGCAAAAGCTTCCACCAAAATTTTAATTGCCAATTCACCCCTCTCTTGGCCGATTCCATCAATCGATTAACTCAACAATTGGTATAAGAGCCTCACTCATTTGAAGGTTTAACCACCTCTTGAGTCGATTCGGGAAGAGTTAAATCGATAAAGATTGCATCCAGTTCCAGTTCATTCTCCATGGAAGAATCCAGACCAATTGACGTGCCTCCACACTTCAATGGAATAAATTATCATCGTTGGAAGAGGTTTATGATGATATTTATCCAATCATTTGATATGGAAGATTATATGATAATCAAGAAAGGATATTCCTCTCCTACGAAGAAGGCAAAGAAGTGGAGTGATCAAGAACGGAAGAAAGCTCAACAAAACAAAAAGGCTATGCACATGTTATGTTGTGCAATTGATCCTATTGTATATAAATGAGTTTCTTCTTGTTCAAATGCCAAGGAAGAAAAAGAACCAACAAAGGTGATATCTCTATTAGCTCTCACAGAGCCAAAGGTATCTTCTAACTCAAATAAATTAAATTCAAAATCTTTTAATGAGTTACAAGATGCTTATGATAAATTATTTTCGGAGTTTGATACCATGAACTCCAAATATAGGAATTTGATTTCTAAATTTATAACTAAAAATGATCTTCTTTGGAAAGCTAAAACAGACTTGGGAAAACAAAATGAAATGTTGAAAAAGGAGTTAGAGCTTTCAAAACTAAAATCTGAA